CTTGACCAAACTGTGGAAGAGTCCAGCCAGAAGAGCCACGAGCAACAAGAGGATGCACAGCAGAAAATGTGGGAGCATGGCATGGTTTCTAAAGAGTCAGAATATACACTGAACAAAATTATAAACGCAACACATTTGTTTTTGCCCCCTTTTGTCATGAGCTGAACTCAAAGATCTAAGACTTTTTCTATGTACACAAAAGGCCTATTTCTCTCAAATATTGTTCACAAATCTGTCTAAATCTGTGTTAGTGAGCACTTCTCCTTTGCCGAGATAATCCATCCACCTCACAGGTGTGGCATATCAAGATGCTGATTAGACAGCATGATTATTGCACAGGTGTGCCTTAGGCTGGCCACAATAAAAGGCCACTCTAAAATGTGCAGTTTTACTGTATTGGGGGGTCCGAAAACCAGTCAGTATCTGGTGTGACCACCATTTGCCTCACGCAGTGCAACACATCTCCTTCGCATAGAGTTGATGGACCAACATTCCACAGGCCACAATCAACAACCTGATCAACTCTATGCGAAGGAGATGTGTTGCACTGCGTGAGGCAAATGGTGGTCACACCAGATACTGACTGGTTTTCCGACAATATACAGTAAAACTGCACATTTTAGAGTGGCCTTTTATTGGGGCCAGCCTAAGGCACAGATTTAGACAGATTTGTGAACAATATTTGAGAGAAATAGGCCTTTTGTGTACATAGAAAAAGTCACAGAGTGAAAAAGAGTTCAGCTCATGAAAAATGGGGAAACATGGAAATTAAAGGAATAGCTCACTCAAAAATTTTATTCTGTCTGCTATATTCTTAGTTTCAGAGGCTTCATTTATAATAACTGTTTTAAAAAAGAGTGAAGAACTACATTATTTCGAATTTTCCCTTCAGTTTTCCACAGAAGAAATAAACTCACATGGTTTGAAATGACAAAAAAAAATGAATTTTTTTAAGAGAACTATTTCTTTTAAATATATACGAAATGTGGCATGTTAAGAATTTTTTTTCCTAGGCTCATCCAGTGTGCGATCGATGGATTTAACGTATGCATTTTTGCGTATGGCTATACGGGTTCAGGGAAAACCTTCACAATGGTTGGAGACAGAGATCGAAGGAACCCAGGAATCATTCCAAGAACATTCACCAAGATCTTTGAGATCATCCAGGATAATGAGTCTACATTTGAGTTTAAGGTACACATAGTATGTGTTTCTTGAGATGTGCTGATGTACAATAGTCATTAAACCGCCTACAGGATCTCTTTGAGAGCCCCACTGAAGCTTTCAGCAAGTGAATCGAAATTAATGGGGACAGAAAGGGGCTTGTGTTCGCCCAGGGAGCAGAGACAAAAGAGGCCACCAGCGCTGGCGAACTCTTTATTATTCGAGCACGGCTGTGCAAACCGCCAAATTGCGGCCACAAGTATGTGTTTAACTTGAAACTTTAAAAGACTTCGGCTAAATGGTTTGGATTAATTGCTTTAGTTACACTCAGTATGAATGCATGGTAAGAACATGATGACCCGGCACTGAAGCCAACTTTATAACAAAGAAGGAGGCCCTTGAGTTTATCTGTATAATGTGTCTGAGAACGGGCCTGAATGAAAGATTCAGGGTTATTATATATAAGAGAGACACATGTGTCTGCCACAAACAATGCAGATTTACAGCAAGTTGTAATTTAATTATTTTGAGATATTAAAATTTTTATTATATCTCTTTGTAGAGATGAATGTAGAGAGCTCCCGCTCTCACCTGATCATTGGCATCATGATTGAGAGCCGGAATCTGACCATTGAGAGCATGAGTTTCAGGAAGCTCAGTCTGGTGGACCTGGCAGGAAGTGAACGAGCAGCAAAAACTGGTGCCAAAGATGACCAGCTGAAGGTTGTTTGGAACAAATAAAATATAAAAGCTGATTTAAAGTGGTCCCAGAAAGTATTTGGACATTTCATGTTGGCTTCAAGTGCACCTGAGCATCAAAAAGCTGAAGGTTGTTTGGAACAAATATAAAAGCGGATTTAAAGTGGTCCCAGAAAGTATTTGGACATTTCATGTTGGCTTCAAGTGCACCTGAGCATCAAAATGCCCTTGCATCACTTTTGCAAAGATTATAAAAATGTTCACAAAGATTGACAATCAGACAGTATCCAAATACTTCTTGTCTTCTTGACTGTTGTTTTATCATTTAAAATGTTTACTTTGAAAAGTGTTTCTGCTATTTTTTTTTAACAACCTTAATATTTTGCTAAGGCAAAGACATTTTCTTAATTACAAATTTTTATTCTCCCCCACTTTTAGTCCAGGATCTTTTCACCCCCAACTTTTGTCTTGGATTTTTTTCTAACACCTCTCACAACAATCTATTTGTCCCACATTTTGTGTATGTTTTTCCCCAGGAGGCAAACTCTATTAACAAATCTCTGAGTGCCCTCGGAGATGTAATTTCAGCTTTGTCAATTGAGCAGCCTCATGTGCCCTATACCGTAACAACAAGCTGACCCAGCTCATGCAGCACTCACTGGGCGGCAATGCCAAGACCCTCATGTTCCTCAACATCTCTCCCTCTGACTGCAACCTGGATGAAACTCTCACCTCACTCATGTGAGAGTCAAGTACCTTGCCTGTACCTTGCGCGCACCATCACCTCAGTTAATGGCAGCATGAGGCTGCTCTATGCCATCGTCACCTTTGTCTTGCTCAGCTGGGGTTTAAAAGACAATTAATATTCAGTGATATATTCAATTGAACTGCACTGACATCAGATGAAAACAAAATCAACACTGACACTGTTAATGAACTAAACTGAGCTGAATAATGGCACTATTGCCTTCTGTAGAGCTTAATTGTACTTGTTTCATATATAATTGATGAACCTTGCAACATTTACAGTTACTGAATTGAACTAAAACAACACTAAACTAAACTGAGCTGAACAATGATTTTGACATTTTCCAAATTGTATAAAATCTGTATTTTATAAAGTGCTAAATAAATAAATGTGAATTGACTGTTGAAATGAATCCTTAATTCCTTTAAATATTCCTTTTCTACTTGAGAAAATTAAGGTTGATAATCTTTTTCTCTTTTTTGTTGTTGTTGAAGTTTTTTTAACTTCACTTCATATCACTGTAAACCTAAAGTTAGCAGAACTCAAAATATTGAAGAAATCAGTTACACAAGTTAATAAACTCCCAGATTAAATTTGCAACTTTATAATTTTTTTTACCACACAAGCATATTTATAGTTTTGGAGCATAAAGGCTACTTGATACATTTTAAAACTTAAGTTTTCAGTTAAGGTATATACAATAATATATACTTTAAAATAAGTTTATGTCTTACAGCTATGCAACTTGAGTGAAAGCCATCACCAACAATGCTCAGAGGACAGCAAGGAAATCGCTCAGCTGAAAGAGGTGTGCACATGATCAAAATCATGCCTTTTTAATTGGTGAACACACATTTTTCTCTTATTTACATTCTCTTTTTACTTCACAGGTGATTTTAAAATTGAAATCAGGTCAGCCTGTGGAAGAAGACGTGTAAACTTCCATCATCTAACTGGACATATGGCTGTTTTAAATTAGGACCATTTCCATGTATGCATCTTACACCATTTTTATGACCATCTCTCATAACATTTAATAAAAAAATAAAAAACGATTATCAAAGGTATCTTTTATTTCAGTAATCAAAGTTATTTTATCATCAAATGTATCTTTTATTTCAGTAATTTCAGTTTGTTGTGGCCTTCTTTGTGTATAATATTTTGGTTTTCTTTATACCCAGTGTCTGTCCCTTTTCATCCCTTATTTAAGTGTGCGTGTCAAGCTAATGCTGATGGAAAAGGTGGGCCAGGCCATCGCATGCAACCCAATAAGTCACTTGGCCAACATATGCTGTTAACGTGTGAAAAGGTAATGAGCATAAATGAAGCTTATTTGCCAAATACAGAAGGCAAATAAGAGCTGTGCTGACTGACGCTGTCGTGCAGTCAGATCTCACTGCAAAACACAGGGTGGCCTGGGGACATGACGGGTTTGAGGGCAATGGCAATCTCCATGAATTTAGAGTCCTGTTTTACAGCCTGTAAACAGGGGAAATATAAAGCAATACAAGTGCACAAAGTGCCAGAGTAACTGGAGAGAGAGCTATAGGGATACTTAAAATTGACTTTAAAATGTTAGCTTTAAAGTAAATTACATGCATAATTACTGTATTTCAGTTTATTTAATGCTCATACACTGTTTTTTTTAAGAAGTCTGCATTAATTTGATCATAATACAGTAAAAACAGTAATATTGTGAAATATTTCAATTTAAAATAACTTTTCTATTTTAAAATGTCATTTATTTATGTGAAGGCAAAGCTGAATTTTTCAGCATCATTACTCCAGTCTTCAGTGTCACATGATCCTTCAGAAACCATTCTAATATGCTGATTTGCTGCTCAAGAAATATTTGTATTATTATCAATGTGTAAAAACAGTTACATTTATTTGAAATAGTTTTTTCTAACAATGTACAAATCTTTACTGTCCCTTTTGATCAATCTAATGCATTATTGCTAAATAAAAATAATACATTTCTTTTAAAACCCCAGACTTTTGAATGTTACTTCATCAATACCAGCTTATGCATTATTGTAAGAAAAAAACAAATCTGAAACAGTCCGCTCTCTTCACAAACTTGCAAATGTGTTTTGTCCTATATTCTATTACATTCCTTGATGTTAAAAATAAGACGGTTAACAGAGTTCAGTAAAATGATATAGACTTGACAACTTCACAGTAAATATCATTTGAGACTATACTATTTGATAGTAAATTGATATTAAACTGAATTACATTTTATTAATTATTAAACATATTTGTTCATTAATGCAAAATCAACAATACCATTAATTCTGATTCTCTCACACTGATTCAGTTTAACACAAAGCAGTTTTTCAACAGAAAGGCCTCTTCAAACCTTCACTGTCACTGAAATAACGCCTTATTTGATACTTCAAATATCTGTGCTAAAAGTACAAACAGTAACTTAGTTGCTTATCATGTATTATCACAAATGATGCATGGACGTGCTTAGAGTACACAATTATGTGCAATAGCAAATATTCAAGTAACAGTTGAGCTGAATAGACCACATGAGAAATAAAGACTGTAGTGGTTAATTAGCTTAGCGGTTCAGTGATGCCCAACATTAGCTTTGTTCTGCGATTTTAGCAAGCATTCTGTGGTGCATTAGCTTAGTTACGAGTTGAGATTTTTATTCGGAAGGGCCTGGGCTTCATGGTGAGGGCAAATGTAGAGCTCAGGTCAAGCTCCTGCCCTGGAACATTCTCTATGTGCAGCCGATGCAGTAGGGTGGTTAAGAACACAAACATCTCCAGACGGGCGAAGCCATCACCAAGGCAGCGGCGTATTCCAATGCCAAATATCATTACCTTCTCAGTCAGGTTTTTATTTAAATGGCCAGACAGGGTAAGGAAACGTTCAGGTCGGAAAGCCTCAGCATCACCCCAAATATCCCTTTTTAGTAAATAAAGACAAAAAATATTGTATGCATGTATATATACACACACACACATGTATATATAACAAATATTAAAAAAAGAATGTGGCCAGATACTTACATGTCATGATTGACTTGATATTGGTTGATGAACACACATGTGTCTTTGGGAATGAAGTATCCATTTAGTGTAATGTTATCAGTTGTACTAGAACAAGAACAAGAAGAGGAATGTGGGTATCCGTTTATCAATACAGATATATGGTTATAGTGATAACACTAACATAAAGAGAGAAACATGGACTCACCAGTGAGGTATGGTGAAAGGCATATAGGATGCATGACGAAACACTTCATATAGGAAAGCTTCTGTGTACGGCATGTTTGGCTTGTCTTTAAACTGTGGTAACCTGTTCATACCAACCTGGTTTTCTAGGAAAGCGCATACAACAAATAATAAATGACCAGAACAGAAGATGAAGAAATACCATATGAACTTTAAACTGGATTTGCCAGTATTATTTTGGACCTCATAAACTGTTTTAGCACTGGAAGACTTCTTTAAAAAAAAATCAAAAAAATTTGCTCCCATTACAGACCTCATTGGTTTCGATTCCAGAGGCAGTCTGGCATCAACACATTACTGTGACCAATCATGTGAGAACCGAGTGGACTAGACCCTGAGGGAATGAAGGCCACTGTGTACAGAAATATGAGCTCTTTGTGTGTAGATGTGTAGTTGACCCCTGCAATTTATTTACAAGATACCACCCACCCACTCACTACAAAAGAGACTTCATTTTAGGACAAAAAGTACATAAGCTTGTAAACTTTAGCTTGCAAACCTGATCTAATATATTTAATCTGAAAAGAAAACATAAATAGCATGCAGTTCATCTTACTACATTTCTTTCAGATGTCTCCGATTGCAGTCACTTAATAACCCTGTAGATAATATTTCATTGAAACAAAATAATTCCCTGTTTATGGCAAGTTCCTGATTTTCCAAAAGACCAAATTAAAGAGAGGCCACAGGAAGAAAACATTTACTTCTTTCACTATCAATCTTGCATCTTTAAAGTTCTGCGTCCAAGTTAGTGGATCAAATTGTGTCTGTCTCACTAAAAACCACAAACCTCAGCTAATGCAGATTTAATTTCCCCAGGATGTCGCCGAACAGCTAAAGAAAGGGATATGCATGATAGGAAATGATTTTGTTTTGTTTTCCAGTAAACACAATGTTGTTTCGATGGCCCCTTTTGAGACTTCACCTATCTCCTGAAGGATTTTAGCCTGGATGTCTGGAAACTTGATCAGGTATAAAAGGCTCCACTGCAAACCAGTGATGATAGTGTCAAAACCTACGAGGAAAAAAAGGCATCGGTTATGATCAAAATCTGTAAACAGCCTCAAGACACACGTCACAATTAGCAAGTGGGCAAACAAACTGGTAGAAGATGTGATGTGTGGTGAAAAACCACAACATTCTCAGGCTAAAAGAATGAAAATGAGCAGTTTGAGCTGCTCAATGAGCTCCTCATGGGTGTTTGTTAAACACTCTTTAATATACTAGAACTACCAAGATGCATAAACTGAAACAAGTATGAATAGAATAAGCCAAAAGCAGACAAAAAAACATAAATTTAAAGCAAATTCTCAGAAGAACTCTAGGTCTGATCAGTCTGAAGTGCCTCCCCTGTGACAACAACACATAGCCAAGAAAAACATCTTGTTCTGGAAGTAAATGCATGCTTTTAACAAGCAAAGCTATTAGCACAATAACAACTCAGGGAGGAGGACTGCAGCCTTGGAAGGCATTCAGATTATGTCTCAAAGTTCTATGAAACATGTCGACACAGTTTATGAATTATTATTGCCTAATGTAATCTGCATTCATGCTTCTAGATCCATTCGCACATGCTCATAATTCAGGATATATAGAGAGAAAACCATTTTTCTGTTCTACTTCTAAAAGTACAATGTTGTGCACATTCATTCTCTTGACTCTGGGTCTCTTACCGGCTCCGAAGATGTCAATGACACTGTGGATGATCTGTGAGTTGCTGAGCATGGCTGTTTCCTCGTCCTCCTGCCTATCCTCACACATTGCTATTAGGGCATCAGTAATGTCCCGGATACAGTTCTGTACAAAAACATGGAGAATGAGACTTGCAAAATGTTTAAAATGTGGAAAAATAAACTGTGGCCTATACTCATTTTTATATCACATCTATATCCATCTTGTTCCTGGCAATGCACAGTATGCATCTGTGCCTTCCTCAAGGCTGTTTACATCAAATTCAACTATGCGTGTGAATATTTTAGTTTGTATAAACTGAAACTCACTTCACAGGAACAGAGTATACTTTGGATGAAATTGTTACTGAGTTACTGACCACAATGTGTAAAAAATATGATTATAGCATACTGTTCAAAAGTTTCTTGTCAATAAATTAATACTTTTATTCAGCAGTAAAGTACATTGTTGCAAAAAATATTTTAAATAGATATGTTTTTTTAATGATTTTAATGCATTTTTTAATAAATAATGAAAATTATTTATTTCAAAAACATTAAAGATTCGACAAACCCAAAATATTTTAACAGTAGTATACTTATATTATTCATCCATTATATTATAAAAATATGCACAGTGTTTGATCATTAAGACAAATTAGCTTATCTATAGTAATTTCTTTTATATATTTAAATATATATATACTTTATATATATTATACACTACCAGTCAAAAGTTTTTGAACAGTACGATTTCTAATGTTTTTTAAGGAATTCTCTTCTGCTCACCAAGCCTGCATTTATTTGATCCAAAATACAGCAAATGTCAGGATCATGGACCGGTTTAGTTGGGTTTTGCCCCTGTCTTTGTTCCTGGTGTTCCTTATATGGTCTTTTACTTGTCCTCGTTTAGTTTAATTAGTCATTCAGTGCACCTGTGTTTGTTAATTATCCCTTGCATTTAAGTTCGAGCCTGTGCTGTTTGTCTTGGTCTGAGATTGTATGTCAACCCACGTGTTACCTGTGCTCCTGTCTGCCCCGTGTATTCCCTTGGATTTTGGATTAAAAAACTATTGTGTTCATTTACGCCTTGTCTCCTCGTTCCTCTCCGTAGGTAAACGTGACAGAATCTCGGACCAGAACAGTTTAAATTGCGTGTTTCCCCTCCGTTTTGTTTCTCGTTTTTCTCTCAGTGTTTGTGTTTCCATTGTGTGCCCCAATGGATCCCCTCCTTTGCCCTGAATACATCCTCCTCCTGCTGGAGCAGGGGGAAAAATCGCTCGAGGGTCATACCAGACTGTTTCTGGCAATTGCCCATCTCACCACCTACCCGGACGACGCGCTCTGCGCGTTCTATGACGCCAGCCTCAACCCCGTGTGCAGAGCGCCGTAGTCCGAAGATGGCCATCGAGCCGAATTCGCCGCCGTTGTGGAGTGGACACTGGCGAGAAATGGATCTCCGTTCCTCGCCTGTTCCCAGGAGTATCTCGCTAGTGCCCCTCCCGACCCAGAGCCCAGTCCACGATCTCCCCGATGCGTGGAGCGCATGCCCGAGCCCACTGCTGACGAAGAGCCGGAGCCCGCCGCGACCGATGAGCCATCACCGCATGGAGCTCTGACTGATGACGTCAGTCAAGGTGTGTGAGCCGGCAACAACGCCTGCCACGAGGGAGAGTGCCCTGCCATGAGGGTGAGCTGAGTGTGGCGCGGGGAAGGTGCCAAAACGAAGAGGAGAGGGCTCCAGCCCCCGAATCCAGTCCAGAGCGCCCTCCAGTGCCTGCTTCTAGAAAGCGCTCTCCAGTTCCCGCTCCTAGAAAGTGCTCTCAAGTGTCCGCTTCTCCAGAGCGCAATCCTGTTCCCGTGTTCAGCCTAGAGGGGGCTCCTGATCCAGAGTTTAGTCCCGAATGCCCGGAGGCTCACAAATGCCTGCCCTCCCACCCGCTCCTGCCTCCTCCTCCGCTGTCGTCTGGTAGTCCCTCTGCTCGCCCTCAGCTCACCATCTATGTGGTGCGAGCTCCGCGTGACTGCCATCCTCCAGCGTCGCCGTGGCTGGAGTTTCCCTTGACTCTGCCTCTAAGCCCCGCACTCCGCCTCAGCCCGTGGACCCGTCGGCTCCACCATGGCTCCTAGCTCCCTCCTCTCCGCCGTGGCCCGGCAGTCCACTAGCTCCGCCGGGCTCCCTCGTCCCTCCGGCTCCGCCTTGGTCTGGCGTCGACCATCCTGCGCCTCGGGACACCACTCCTCTGGCTTCGCCTCATCCCTCCGTCCCTCCGGCTCTGTCAGACTTCTTCATCCCCTCGGCTCTGCCTCAGTCCTCTGTCGCTCTGGCTCCACCGTGGCCTCCCGTATCCACACCTTCGCGTCAGTCACCGGCGCCATCGGCTCCGCCTAAGGCCTCCGGATCCTCCCCATCATCCTGGCTCATCGGCTCTCCATCTCCGCCTCGGGCTCCTCCACCACCAACTGCTCTGCCACTGTTGGTCGGCCCCCTGGAGTCGGCGGCCATTCCTCCTCCATGGCTCCTCCCTCCACCGTGGGTCGTCATTATGGCTGTGGCCTGGGTCCAGCTGGACTCCTCCTGCTCCAAGCCCCTCCTGTCTCCTCCCTCCATCGTCTCCTCCCTGGACTCTGCCTGCCAGCCCCCTCCCGGGTGTCCGTCCTCCTCCGGAACCTCCTCCTTAGTTCCCACCTATGCCCCCCCCTTCTGCTGTTCTACGGTGCGAGGACGCACTTTCCGGGAGGGGGGCGATGTGTCAGGATCATGGACCGGTTTAGTTGTGTTTTGCCCATCTTTGTTCCTGGTGTTCCTTTTATATGGTCTTTTTCCTGTCCTCGTTTAGTTTAATTAGTCATTCAGTGCACCTGTGTTTGTTAATTATCCCTTGCATTTAAGTTCGAGTCTGTGCTGTCTGTCTTTGTCCGAGATTGTACGTCAACCCACGTGTTACCTGTGCTCCTGTCTGCCCCATGTATTCCCTTGGATTTTGGATTTAAAAGACTATTGTGTTTGTTTATGCCTTGTCTCCTCGCTCCTCTCCGTAGGTGAACATGACAGCAAAAGCAGTAATATTGTGAAATATTTTGACTATTTAAAATCACCACTTTCTACTTTAATATATTTTATTCCTAATCCTTTTCAGCATCATTACTCCAGTCTTTAGTGTCACATTATCCTTCAGAAATCATTCTAATATGCTAATTTGCAGTTCAATGCCCATTTATTATTATTATTAACAGTTGAGTAGATTTTTTGATGAATATAAAGATCAGCATTTATCTGAAATAAAAAGGTTTTGTAACATTATACACTATACCATTCAAAATCTTGGAGTCAGTATTTTTTTTATAGAAATGAACCTTTCTTTAGCAAGGATGCTTTAAATTGATCAAAAGTGGTGATAAAGACATTTATAATGTTACAAAAGATATTTCAGATAAATGCTGTTCTTCTGAACTTTCTATTCATCAGCAATTTTCAAAATAACAAGTTTATTTTTTTGAGCAGCAAATCAGAATATTAGAATGATTTCTGAATGATCATGTGACTGGAGTAATGACGCTAAAAATTCAGCTTTGAAATCACAGGAATAAATTACATTTTTAAATATATTCAAATAGAAAACAGTTATTTTAAATAGTAAAAATTTCCAAATTGTACTGTTCTTGCTGTACTTTGGATCAAATAAATGCAGGATTGGTGAGCAGAAGAGACTTTAAAAAACATATATATATATTACAGTATGTAGCATACTAAATGCTAATTTTAATCCTTTCTCTTTTGGCAAGAAAAATCTTTTTTTTCTTTAAGTTAATCATCTGAAATAGATACAGTATGTTAAGACTTCTACAGGAATGAATTTTTCTTCTCTTTGGTTTATTTTAACATTATTACCCTATCAAAGGTGATGAGATGTTCACTGATGTTGCGCTCCATGAAGTTGTTCATTCTGTCAATGTACTGGAGCAGCTTTCGCAGAGACGGACTGGGAAGGTAGCGGAAAATGGGGAAAAAGTCTGCCAGATTCCCTGCAGCAAAGAGGCGCAGCACTTCATTATTGATGTTGACGATGGTGAGGAACTCTTTATCATCATGGGCGTACCGCTTCCCAAAACATAGAGTGCAAACTACATTGGCAACTGAGGTCACTAGCAACTTAACTGGGTCAAGCCCTGAATCTCCAAACTCATCTGCTTGTTTCTTCAGAGCCTCCATCATATCTACGGCCTCTGCACAGATACGCTCCTCCAAAAGACAAGAAGCGCTTGAGTCTCGGGACTCAGCTTGGGAGAAGGTCTTCAGGGCATTTCTGCAGATCTTTTTGTGAAGCACCCAAGCTTCTCCATACTTCTCACTAAACGTCATACTGGTGCCATTAGCAACTGCAGAGAAGGTAAAGAAGTTAGGACGTCCAGCAAACGCCTCTCCTTGACGTACCAAAGCCTCCTTGATGGTAGAATAGCCGCTCAAAACGACCACTACAAGAGAACCCATTTTCATCTTGAACACATCTCCATACTGAACCCTCAGGTTTGTTAATGACAAATGGATCTGTTCCCCCATCTGGAAAAGGTTTCCCACTAGAGGCCAAGGTGTGGGACCTGGGGGCAAGGAGCAACCTGGTTCTCTCCGTCGACCATGGAGAACCAGCAAGAGCATAGCAAAGGCACAGAGGAACAAAGTCACTCCAGTCGTGTGGGAGATCTCCTCAAGATACATGGCAGACACTGCAAATAACATATTGAAAATTATTTAAAGATAGATTTTTGACGCATAAAGCATAATGCACCATTATATTCTGAACTCTCAATCTCTAAATAGCTTTGAAGAAGATGGTTTAAGGAAATGAAAACTTTACAATAGCTTATTATTGCATGTATATTGTTTAAGTTAATATAATGCGATATAAACTGCACGCAGAAGATTAACCGAACAGAAAGGGCCAAATAGGTAAAATAAATAAAGTAATAGGCCCTATGCATATCTTACCTTTGAGACCACAATTGACCGATCCCGTGTTCGCAATAAAAATACTAGAGAAAAAGTTTCACCAGCTGAAAAATGGCTGCGCGTCTCAATGACTACATAAACCACAGGCTGGATCTCAGAAGCAGAGGAGAGCACGAGGGGCGTCGAGATGCTCGATTTACAAGCAAGAATGAACTGTGCATGAATGTAAGCCAGTGAGATTTAAAAAAAAAAAAAAAGAAAAAAAAAAAGAAAAACCCTACTGATGAGATAATAATATATTAAAAAAACAAAACAATGTGTTTCCACACGATGGCAGTGTCCTAAAGCCTACACTTCTAAACTAGGCTATAGGCTACTGTACATTACGAATCGAGGAGGAAAAAGAAAACATAATCGACTGCTTATGATAGTCTGTGACGAAACAATGCTGGCAACTGTGCATGGCTGGGTTACACTTTATTTTAAGGTGTCCTTGTTACATGATGTTCAAGTACAATCTTTTAATGAGCATTGCCTTTCGATCTTGGATGAAGTTGCTCCAGTGAAATCCAGAGCAGCTCGTCTGATAAATTCTACCCCTTGGATCAATGATAGTATCAGCTCTTTTAAACGTATTTGTCGTAAAACGTCTGTGGAAATCTACTCGACTACTAGTTCACTATCTGCATTTAAAATAACTTTTAATGGATTTTAATAATAAGGTTAAGGATGCCAGAATTATGTATTTCTCTAATCTAATATCTAGCAGCAGACATAATCCCAAACTTTAGTTTGACACCATACATAACATTGACTCTCCTCCATCACCTGCGGTTCAAATCTCTTCAGTTGATGAGTGCAACAGTTTACTCTCCTTTTTCGTGGATAAGATAAACAATATACGAAATAACTCTTTCTCCTTCACTTCAAATACCTTGTGTCTCCAGGCCAGTAACCCTGGAGAATTTTTCCCCATAACACTTGATGATCTCACTAAATATTTAGTTCTATGAAAACTTCTAGTCCTCTGGATGTGGTACCCACTGCCTTGTTTAAAAATTTTATTGACACGATTGGTCCCAGTGTGCTATCTATAATTAATAATTCATCAACATCTGGTCAAGTTCCAGTTTATTTTAAACAAGCTGTTGTTCAACCTATTCTAAAGAAAACAAATCTTGATCTATCCTTACCCCAAAATTATAGACCTATTTCTAAGTTACCTTTTATGGCTAAGGTCCTGAAAAAAGTTGTAAATCAACTCTCAGCTGTTTTAGATGGTTATAATGTGTAATTGATAAATTCCAATCTGGCTTTCGTGGCATACACTCAACTGAATCTGCTCTTCTTAGAGTTTTAAACCATTTGTTAATGCAAGGTGATGCAGGAGAATGCTCTGTACTGGTTTTATTGGATCTTACTACTGCAGTTGATCACTGTATATTAGTTGAGAGGCTTAGACAGCAGGTTGATATCTCAGGTTGGAACAGCCTTGAATTGGTTTTCATCATACTTATCAGACAGGTCTTTCTCAGTAAGAGTTCAAAATGATACCTCATCAACAGCACCTGTGCCCTGTGATGTTCCCCAGGGTTCCGTTTTGGCCCCATTACTTTTTGCTTTGTATTTGCTGTCTCTGGGGAAACTGATAAGCAATTTTGAAGGCATTCGCTATCATTGCTATGCAGATGATATTCAAATATATACTTCTTATAAGCCTCATTAAATTACAAAATTGTCTTAAATTGTATAAACTCTATTAAAGTCTGGATGGCAAATAATTACTTACAGTTCAATCCTGAAAAGAAAAACAGAAGTACTTATCTCGGCTCCTGCTGGTCTTCTCCCAAAAGAGATGGAAAGTCTTGATCCTTTATCACATTCTGTTAAATCTACCCTTCGTAATTTAGGTGTTC